GTTCAGATTATTTTCAATTCTTACAAATAGCTAATTTAAATATTTGGGTCAGGCGGGTCACGTAGACTTCACTTTGCTGTAAGACAAGTTGATCGCACAAGTTTGTGGAACTAATCCATTCGACTTCAATTTTGATTATTTTCGGCAAGAGAGTCCTCTCCAAACTAATGCCAGTTATTTTGTTACTTCCCTGAACATTTTGTCTCGAATCATCCAAAAACGAACGTCTCAAATAAAATGCAAAAAATAACCCAAAATCACGATCAGCGAGAGTGGGCTGCGTAATCATTACATTCTCACAGTCGGAGCTACGTCACGTTCCCTCAAACGTTGCCATGACCGAATTAACACCTCTGTTTTCCCCCACGCTAAGGAAAAAATCTTTTGTTTTCTGCTGATTTCCTGTTCCGGTCCGTCTGTGAGAATGTATTTTCGATACCTCCGATTTTCCGATAAAGGCGTTCTAAAATCGTGACGTTCTTTACTTGGTTATAAAGACAACATTGACAATGAATATCTCAACGTGTCCTTCGGTGTTTCGGCAAAAACCATACTAGTAGTTACTATGAATAGTTTGTGAATTGGTCGATTGTGTGTCAGAAATATAAAATGGACAAGTTGACAGTCACATTCACGCTGTCAGTGCATTTCTTTCGTCTATCATTCTTCCGTTCTCAATTACCCAGGACATCAGGCAAGTTATGGGGATAATCTTTATTTGTCTCACACCTTCTGAAAGCCAGAGATGGTACAATTTTTGATGTAGAAAAAGATGGTAGATTATATTTTTTAAACAAAGTTTCCTGTACATCTGTTTCCAAAACATTAGAAGAGTGGCACAAAATTTTGGGACACTGTAATGTCAAAGATATTATTAAATTAGAGAGTGTAGTTGATGGGTTAAAAATAACTGATAAACAAGATTTCAACTGTGACACCTGTATTTTGGGGGAAATGGTTCAAACCTTCAATAGAGAAGCTGATAAACGGGCTACAAAGCCAATGGAGTTTGTCCACTGTGACCTAGCGGGGCCAGTTGAGCCTATTGCTAGAGATGGTTTTAAATATGCTATTTGTTTTACTGATGATTATTCTGGTGCTGTTTTTGTATATTTTCTTGTTAGTAAGAGCGATACTGTTGCAGCAACAGAAAGGTTTTTGGCTGACAGTGCACCCTATGGTGTAATTAAGAGGTTAAGATGTGATAATGTGATACTGAATTTACCTCAGAGAAATTTAGGTCCTTAATGATCAAAAATAAAATTAGTCAAGAGTTTTCAGCTCCATACTCACCCCATCAAAATGGCACTGTTGAGCGCAGTTGGCGAACATTGTTTGAAATGGGCAGGTGTATTTTATTTGAGTCCAAACTACCTAAACAGTTTTGGACTTATGCAGTTATGGCTTCGGCTTACACACGTAATAGATGTTATAATCCACGGACAAATCAGACTCCATTTCAATGTTTAACAGGAAAAGACCCAACTTGAGTAACTTGAATATGTTTGGATCTGTGTGTTACGCCTATGTTCAGTAAAGACAAAGCTTGACCCTCGCTGTACC